TATGCTTCCCACTAGCTTTGACATGTACTCAGAAATCAACTGGACTTCTAGAAATCAATACTTTATTGACTTTCTTACCAAAGTTCATATTTCTGATACTAGATTGCTTTGATAAGACTTTATCAAAAATATACACCTTTCCTTAGATAGCTCACATGTTTGTCTAGACCTTTTGCAATTCTCACTAGTTAGTGTGCCGGTTAACCACACACGCTCCACTAACTATATGAGAATGCAAATATCACAACCGCTATCTACTTAAAATCTTCTTAGTGGAAGCGTTTCCTTACCATCATTTTCATGAATCGAAGAGAAACCTTATGACACTTAGATTTTATGGTGTATGTGTTCTTTTCCATGTGAATTTTGTCAAAACCATAATCACAGGACTAGGTTAGTGACACTTCCAAATTCATATGGACTGAACTTGTGCAATCTTAATTTCTTGCCACCGGCAGCACAAGGGCTACCATTGCTTCCAGGTTGTTATGCAAACAGTCGAGAACTCTCAGAACTCCAATGCAAAGCCAACCTTAACTGGATGAGCACAGAATATGTCAACACGATAGGTTACAAACCTCAAGTCGTGGGCTAGTGATTAACAAAACTCTTGATTAGTTCTTGAAACTATTTCAGAATCTTTTAGACTCCCACTGTCCTCTTGACATATAAGACTTATCTTTGTCAAGAACCATTCCTTGACAATAAAATATTCAAGAGCTAGTGTGGATTCTTATCAAGTTAAACACTTCCCATAATTGGACTTAGTTGGTCTTTGTTTTATCCAAAACATCACAACTAACCAACCTCAAATGTACAAGAGTATGACACATCTTACTCTACATTTGATAAGTGTTATAAACTTTCTAAAGATTATGTCACTCAATGGCTCAATCTTGGAGTATGACTCTAAGATTTGATGTATGATTTATCTTTTGATTTAACCATTTCAACAACTCATGATTCCTCTCCTTAGCCAAACAAATGAACTAAGGTGTCCTTAGAGGATCAATTGTGATATGGTTTCATAATCACTAAGATAATCATAAAACAAAATACACAAGTACTCTCCCATCTCGTTAGATTGGAGAAACCTTTTTCTTTCTGCCTTATTTGATTCTTCTTATTCATTCTGCCATACATTGAAACTTTTCCAATGTTTCAGAATTACACTTAAACTCGTAAGCATAACCATATTTACTAAACTTTAGTAAATCATAATGAATAATCTTATCAACCTTTGTGGTGGACCTGACCAGCACACAACCAAGTGTACCCAATCTCTTAGTCCTTTGCTTGACTCACATGTGAATGTGAACAAGGAATTAGTCTTAATTTACCAAAGATGAAAATTCTCATTCATCACACAATACAACTTGCATGATTCCAAGTTTCTATCCAACTGAAACTTGGGTGATGAGAATCTTCCTTATTTGGTAAATTATGATACTACCACTAATGAAAGAATCAAATCCATTTACCCATATTGCTTATCAATGGAAACATATAAGCAACAACCTTTTTCACAAATGCCATTGTAAGGATACTTAAAATAAATAAAATCAAAACCATTTTCTTTTATTTTAAAACTTTGCGGAAAACTTATCCTTACAATCCATATGGAAAACTTGTTGTTATCTATTCCTAAGCAATATATCTAACTCTTAAGTAACAACTCAAAATTCTGATCACCGAACCATGCGATCGAAATCCATCTTCACGATCAGAATCAACATATACTTCCTTTAAGTTTCTTCACTCAATATGTGACCTAGTCACATCATGCAATAAGAATCTTAGAATAGAAACTTAATAAAGTTAGATAACGGACTTTACCTAAAGAAGAGTCAAACATTTGACTTTACTATCCTTATGGACTTTTAGGTAAATTTGGCAGCTTCGCAACCAATGCCCTTCCTTTGGCAACAGAAACATATGGACTCTTTGGAAACGGTACACGAGACTATCACAGACTTAGCCTTTCTCTTTACCATTTGGTCAACCGAGTTGACTATGGCCAATCCCTTTCAATTGGGAAGAGAAAGTTTTTCTGGACTTCCAATGTTACCATTGTCAATGTCCATGGAAGTTTGGGAAGTTGATCTTCCAATCAAATTTTGCTTTACCAATGCTCCAAATCATTGTTGATTCAGCATCATCAAGCAAATAGTAAGATCATTAGGGTCATGTCGTGATCTGTCATCAGGGAGTGACCAAGTCAACAGCCAGCTACCTTGAGACTTCGACACCCGACTCTCCCGGCTTGTCAATATGTGACTTAATCTCCAAGACCTAAGCACATATAGACTTTGTTTGCCAATAGGGATTGAGTGACTTAGAACTTATCATGTCTTGAAACTTGTGGGATAGGGAGATTTATTGGAGTAGGTGAAGGAAGTGAAGTATGATTTTCAGTCCCACTAATGCACAACAAAGGGATTGATCTTTCACCTTGATTGCCATTCGGGATATCATCTTCATTAGGAAGCTTCTTCCTAAGATTTGGGAAGACCATAGCTGTCTAAACTAGACATCTATAATGGGAGAAATTCAAGTTAGTTGATTTAAAGTCCTTAATATAACACCCAATATGAAATATTAAGGCTAGGACCCAATAACCTATTTATAACTGGAAGAGGGATGCCGTAATCCAAATTATAAAATAGTTAAAGGTAGGTAAATGACGATTTACCAATTTCCACCATGAAAAACGAAATATAATTAAGTTTTAATTGGATTTGAAACTCCTAGATCTTTGAGATACATTGAACTTTCAATGGCATGTTTGAATCTCGATTGTGCCCTCTCAAGTTTGTGACTGGGATGCCGAGGATCACAAACAAGGTGTGAATAACCATACAAATTGACTTGGTACCCTTAACAATATTACCTAATCGATGTGCCGGTTAACCACACACGCTCCACCGATCTATAATAAAGTCAAGTTACCCTTTGCCACTCTTACTAGTCCATGTTAGTGTGCCGGTTAACCACACACGCTCCACTAACGACTTGGTAAGGTACAAAGTGTAATTTTATGGGCTAGCACCAATTTCACATTTTCCTAAAGTAACTAAGATTGGGAATTTATAATGTATAGTTACTTTATAATTCATTATACTTTTAATGAGTATTTAAAGTCGTATCCTACCCGTTCGGCTAACGACCCTCCACCGATCAAGGAAGCGGTGGGTGAGAGTGGACACCCATTAAGTCACCATTTTATAGGCAACAACCTTATACCCCCCTTATAGACCGGCTTCGTGAATGAGGCCTACTAACGGTAAGAATGACATATTCTTATACATATCTATATAATAAAATTATAATAATAGTATAAGGGTGTATTTTAAACATTTAAAATACTTGGTGGTTTAATCTATTAATTAAATTATACTCTTAATTTAATTAAACTTAAACCATGTCTTTATGGAATTATTAACTCTTTTAATTAAACACTTTAATTAATTTAATGAAGTCCATAAAGTTTGAATTTTTTTTTAACTTTAAAAAAAATTTGGAATTAAAGTGTAAGACTTTACAAATTCCAAAACTTGAGGGCAAGAATTGAAACTATTCAAGTCTCTTCAATTTGTAACTTATGAGTTTTAATGGTTCATAAAAATGAAGACTCTTCATTTTATGAAACCTCTTTAGTTCTTTAATCACAATTTAAAGAAGTGACTTTTGGTTATCCATAACTTGAGGACAAGTTATGGACACCATTATTGCCATTAAGATCATGAATTAAACACACATGGAGGTTACACATAATTCCTATGATCTTCTAAAAACTCATAAGAACACAAATTCATGCCAAGCAATTTTCAAGAAATCATATAAACATATACAATACTTGAAAATTAATAAAAGTCATGTAAAATGGGTTAACATAATCATTATCATTTTGAAAAAAGATTTTACAAGTCCAAAACAGATTGGGATAATGATTTTAATCCATTTCCAGCAACAAAACACGAAAAGACTGCCCAGCACGCACCTACTCGTCGAGTGCATTATCCTACTCGACGAGTAGGATGAATTTGTTCATGGACT